ATTAATTGATAAATTTAATATAAATCAATAATACGATTAAAGAAAATCTTTAAAAATCAATTTATTAAAAAAAATTGATAGAAAAACAATTTTTTTCTTCTAAAGACTCTTGTTATCCACCAAAAAAAAATTAATATTTATTTTATTTTTACGGTTAAACAAAAAGAAAAGAAAATCATATAACAAAAATGTTGAAATTACAACAAAAACCCATAAATAATCGATTTTTTTAGTCTTTCTTTTACGTCATTATCAACTTTTAGTTATTTTATTATTTCAGTAAAATAAATAAATACTTATAAAATTGATTTTGGTTTTAATTTTTTTTTTCAATTCGATTGATATCAACAATAAAAATATAACAAAAGAAATTCTATAGATCCAATCATAATATACATTTAACTTTTAACATGATTTTAAAATACTCATATATAAAGAACCAATCTGAAACATTCATAAATATATAGAGAGGACATAAAAATGCTTACTCGAATTGAAATAACGGGAAGAAAATAATTAGTGTCGGGCAATGAACTAAATAAATTTTTTTTTTCTATCGATGGTCAATGACAATGAATTTTTAAGCTTACGTGTGATGATAACATGTTATAGAATAACTGAAAAAGAACAACAATAGAATAGAGAGAAGGAATGTGTAATTCTCATTAGTCATAAACCTTTCTTATAGGGATGAGTTAAAGTAGATAGCTACGAAATATTTCCCGCCTAATCTAACTCTAATATATCCATCTATATCGTCATATCCAGGGGCGGATCCAATGGACAAAGGGGGGGGGGGGGGGGGGGGGGGGGGCGGTAAGGACCCCAGTGAAAAAGTAATTTTTTTTATCTATGTTAAAAATTAGGATTTTATATTATTACATTTACTTTTCCCCCCACTAGGTTTCTCAAGGGGACCCCCTTTCCCTGCCGCCGATTACCTTTACAGCGGCACCTCTTCTCCAGCGACCGGCAGTGGCACTCTTCTCCGGCACCGACAGCAAGAGTTTTTTAAGGTTTATTTTATTTATGTTTTTGTTGTTCCTGTTCTAGCTTTTTATAACAGTGACTTAGTGAGTCTGTCAATCTGTGAAGAGTTTATGCAATCTGCAGTACATGAAGATTGAAGGGTTTAAAATTAAAATGGAGGAAAGAAGTTGGTGGTTCAAGACTTCAAGTACATGAAGAGTGGACCCCACTTCAAGTACATCAAGACTTAAAAATAGTCATTCCTCTTCTTTCTTTCTTTCTTCTTCACGGCTTCACCTACTCTATGCAATTGTTGACTTTTGTTTTCAAAACCTTTTTTTTTTCAAATTTTCCCTCTTTCTTTTTTTCTTCATTTTGCTTCTGCTTTCTACATCTGATTAGCCTTTATGAATTATGAATCATCTTACTGCTTGTCTGCTTTTATCTTACTGTTTAAGTTTTTGGTAAAGTTAAAATGTAAACAATAGATAAACATTGGGGCTTTTTAAGCTTTTAGTAAATTATTAAAAATTAATATCAATACTAGAGTGGACAAATACAAATATTTAATAGATGCTTATTTGCTAATATTTAATAGGTATAGTGGACAAACAGTAGGTATATTATATATATATATATATATATATATAT